GCGGCAAAGACGGCGTCCGAGGCGGGAAGCGATCCATCCTGCTGGTATATTTTGAAACAGATGAGGCGAAAATTGTCGATATTCCGGCGTAAAACAGGGAAAGGAAACTTCCAGATGTGTTATTCGAAAACATATCAGGTAGCGTGTACATACGTCGGCTGCACCATCAAATATTCCAGTTTTTGCAGCCATGTACTGGTCACAAACTTCTTCGTGTGAAGTGAGAAACTGATTGGGAAATTACGGATATCCTCATTTATCTGTTATTAACACAATACTTTTCTAGCCTATTTTGAGAGAGAGTGCAATGTAACTGGGTTTGTGACACCAGAAATGCAATGCATTTTACTTCGTGATTGATATCCAGCAGTTTGATAATACCACATTTCAAAAATCGCTCGAGCCAAAGAAGAGACCCCACTGCCTCCCAAAGAAAGTACAGTTAGACTTTGCCACGCTACACACTTAACCGTGTTTCATGCTCGTTAAAAATCTCCCCCAACTCCCGTGCTTAAATTGTGTTTGTTGATAATTTGGTATCAACAATTGGTACTCAAGCCTTTGAGGCGTGGAGTCGATCACGTAAGCCCTTCCCAGCTCTCCATTTCCAAATACAAGTTTCTTAACAAAGTGTTTAATAAACATATTTGCGATGGGGTTTCAATGCAATGATAGTTCCCATAGGGCTAATATAAATGCCTCTTTCGAAGCACAGGATACACAACTTAACAAGCTGATCGCAGCTTTCCTTGAATACCCTGTAAAAATACCTTTTTTGCGCATACTTCAAGTACGGGATGCGGTGAAATTCGTTCGTCGCCTCTGATGGCCTTGTACAGATTTTAGTGAAGGAAATAGTGCGTCATAGGGGGTCAAAGTTAACGACGCGCAGAGCATTGTGGGTAAATTTCCGCCAGGCGCGCGAGCTCGCTCAATGTGTTACACAACTGACCTTTATCAATTTGATATATTTTTATTTTCTTCCTCATTGCCGAAAATATTCTCACTGCACTTTATTCGTTCATCCAAAATTGATCAAGATAACCCATGATTTGAAATATATCGCCAAACTACACATGATTACTGATACCTAGTGAGAAGACCAATTACCCCTCTGTGGTTGTACCAAGGGCGTGTTTTTATCATATAGCCGACACTGCCCGTGCCGAAGAATTGCCGAACCGAAAATTTATGTTTTCGCTAACAGGAAGTGATAACCTTGCTGTCACAGATCGTGCACAATGTAGCCAATCACAGTTCAAAGCCATCAGCCCTTCCCAGCAACATGTTTCCCGCGCATACGCGTGAAGTTCTTTAACTGACATCACCAAATGCATGTTCAAAGACAAGCAAGACGCTGTGAAATCCATATTTCTAATATTCCTCAATTAGTTCACAAATTGCCCTTGTTTTTGAATAGTTTTTGTCTAAACTTGGGGTCACTTAGAGCTGCATATTACAACTCAAGTTGAGAAAATGGAAGTTTTAGCATGCATGACATATCTAGTCTGTCCGTTGTCATATGTAGAAACAAAACTCACTGTACACAAAACATGCGTCTTTGTTACACTGGGGCAGGTCTGGGATTTTTTTCTCTCTCACTTGAACAAGCTCGTATTCCAGAAAGTAATGTCATAAACTGCCCAACCGTAGTGAAAATGACAAAATCGCACGATTCAATGGCATTCCGCTCACAAAAAGCTCAATCTCGGTGGATCTTTAATCTCCACCTTTAATAATGCTTGACATGTTACATAGCCGGTGTATACCCTGTCCACGCGCAACTACAATACAGTGTTCTGCATGAGCTTCATTTCAAATGTTTCCCTGTGCTTTACACTGTGTAATGTTATTTTCAAGCAAGACTCCTTTCTTTGAGTCACATGCATGTGTAAAGTAGAGCGATTTTCCAATAGAAGTCACGGTCAAGTGACCAATACCTGCCAGCGGTTTTTGGCAAACATTATTGAATGCGATTTTATGTCCACGGCACTGACAGACTCTATGAATACAATTTAGGCTAGCTGGGGAGGGATTGGTTACAATGACACTAGAGGAATTCGAAATACCTACTCGTCTTGTCTATAGGCTAATTAAACGTTTGTAATTATTTCGTATTTAATGAGTTCTCAGTAATGTCGAATTGCTTCAGGTAAATCTGGTACCTCTTGAAAATTATTTACATCATTCTGGAAATAAATGCATCACAAAACATTCATAGGACTACATGCCGTTCATATTTTATTTTGGCATTCGTATTCGTAGGCTTATTCAATACAATGAAAACAGAGAGGGCAAGAGACTGACTTTTTTTTAAAAATTTAATCAGGATCAACGAAGTTCCTTGTCTGTTTGTCAGATTCCAGCTTGATCAGCCCAGCGGCAGGTGAATAAACGGTAGCCCAGCCTGGGCCTCCTCGCTCCCACTTGTCTGTTGACGTTTAATTACTGTCTCTGCTTGAGTACCGTTGTTTGAATGAGATAGTTCACAAGTGGATATTTTTGTGTGTGCTTATCCAGGGGCAAAATGTCTCCATCAAATGGCGGTCATCTTTTTGGTGGTGCTAGATTTAGAAATTATTTCTTCAGCTAGGGTTTCAAAAGACTATGTTCACGGGGGAGAAATTTCCAATTTTAATTTAGTCTGCTTGATCCGATCCGATGCAATGAAGTTCAAATTGATATATCTTGATTGGAAGTATTCCTTGAGGGGAACCAATTCTTAAGTTTTAGGCTAGCTGTAGGCCTATATCCTTAGCTTTCTGTTGAAACAGGTAGTCATTCTTGGACTTGGCTTTGTTTAGTAGAACTTTTGCATGTGCAACGTGCTTGAGGATGAGCATGTTTTCGGGGTTACTTTCGAATGTTGCTCTGTTCACTGACTTCTCGGTCACATTTTCTCTCTCCCCCCTAACCCGGCTCTCACACCGTTTGCGCACCTGTAACAACAGTGATTCCTTCGCAAGGGAAGTAACTGTGCAACTAGCTAGGCATGCACTTTGATGGTACGGCCATCGCGGCTGCACCAGGCCGTGTAACTCAATTGTGATAGGCAGCTGCAGAACTGCTGGTCTCGGCAATCGGCGCGCCGATCAATGAAAACTGACCGAAAGTTTTCCCGGATCAAGCAGGAAAATATTTACAGGAGGCCGCTTTGATGAGCGCGTGTGCCTCGCCGGTTTTTTTTCCTGCAGGCCTCTGCAATTGAAGAAGTCAACGAAAATTTTGTCAAGCAATCGTTTTTCTCCAAACAGTATTCTTTTCACATTTTAATTCGATTTGAAAATACCGCAAATCCTTGTGCGACAGCAGGTTCATTTTACAATAATTTTAACGGCTCAGCCTCGATGATGAATGATGCATTCATGTTTACCGTCAATTGCCAACTTATCTTGTCGAATTAAATCTGAAGTAACTTTCATTTCCAGACAGCTGTGAATTTCAATTGTTTGACAAACTGCCGATAACCTGTCAAATGAGAACTGTTTAAAAATGAAAAACAGAATTCCAGCCAGAGCGATTTCTTTTGCAAGCGGCATTGGCATCTTGATGTAAAAGACACGGAAGTCTCTATTTTTTACACAAATGCAGAAGTAACAAATAACTCAGGCATGAAATGGCATATGAAAACTTGTTTGAGCGCTGATATGGGTATTGATACTTTCTCGATTACAAGAAGTAGTATAGGGTGTTTAAAGACCAAATTGCTATTTAAATTTACTGTAAAAAGATTGGTCAACTTTGGGGTTGATGTTTTGCCCAATGCTGGTGTAAATATCAACTTCCCAAACTTGGGGAAATTTTTCCCAGTGATGGAAATTGACCAACAATGTGGTAGCTTTAACCAAGGTTGGGCAAATAACAAATGCCCAACACTGTTTGACCATTTTTTTAACAGTGTGCCGTGTTAGACTTCTGCCGAATATGAGGTAATTGTGTGAAGTCCTAACTGTTATTTTGTGTTAATAAGAGATTTTTTTTCAA